ACAGTTATGGTAAAAGCAATAAAGACTGTCCATTAAATATGAAATCTGACACGATTAGAAGGCTATACTATATACTTTTGCAGTATACTTTAAAAAAATACCAAAAGCCTATTTCGAGTCGATGGCAATACCAACTAATAACTGCAAATCAGTATCTTGAAAATTATAATACTCATCATCTTTTCAGAACTTGGTTTGTAAAACAACTTAATCAATTCAAAAATATACCTGATAGATATTTTAAACAGTGGAAGGTCTTTGTCAAATAAATAAATAATAGGAAGCTTAATCTTCAAATAAAGTGCATGGTGCAATTTGGACAATTTTTTCATACGAAATTCTTTGAATTTCTAACTGGGTTTGATAATATATCTCGAATCTCAGAAAATGATAAGTTTAAATGCCTTCCTTCTGGATATCGTGCACATAAGCTTCCTGACCAAGTTTCATTCTGGCTAAGTGAATTGCAACGCGTGATTATTAACCCTTATATAATTTTTGAAAAAGAACTTACTGAAGCACGATTAACACTATGTGATCAAGAATTCACGACTTTAACCCACCAGATTAAGCTTGGTTTACAAAAAGCCCGAGATGGATTTTTAAAATGGATGGGTGCTGGACTCATTTAGCATTAACTATATGTCTATTAGGTGGAAATAATGGTCCCAATTTTGCACGGAGTATTTGTCACGTCTTCTTAAACTGATTAATGAATGATGAAATAACTAATAAAGAACTTCTATATACCGAACTATTAAAAAAAGATAAGTTAGAAGGAAATTTTCAATCATTCGGTTTATTTTATGTGCTAAGGGATCCCAAGTTTTTGGAACAGTTTCTTATCTTTTCAATATCTTGTGCAAACAAACCCCCAAAATTTCCACTTATATATGACTTTGTTAAATATAAAATTTGGTTAATCATAGTTCACCAACAACAGCTTGAAGGAATGTTTACAAATATGACATTAAAACTCACCCTAATATGACTAACAAACTTCAAAAAGCAAGGCTTCTACTCTCTAGTCCAAGTCGACCGGAAGTAAGGCTTGATCATGAAGATTTATTAGCAATTCGCAAGGAGAAACGAAGTAACATAGTTAACAAGACAGAAATAGAACTTGGAGAGACGGCTGCTAAAGTTATTTTAACTGAGTTATTGAAAAAAAAAAGTAAAGAGTAAAGTGTAAAATAAAAGAGTCGACTAATAAAAAAAAATTTTTAGTAAGGTAATTAGTACCAGAAATATTTCTGAATTTATAGGATTTTCCCAATAAAAAATCTTATCAGATTTTATTATTAGTAATGGCGAATTTACTAAAGTTTTGTTTTAAATATACTATAGCATATTAAAATAATTTAAAAAAATGCCTCAACATAGTTTTAAAACTACACTACTCATATATCATTTACAAGTTAAAGAATTGAATTTGCTTTTCTCGAGCAGAAGTTAGAATGTTTTAATTTTTATAATTTATTATAAAAATTATAAAAATCACACTCTTCAAAACATTCTAACTCCCACTCTAGTAAAGCAAATTCAATTCTGTAACTTGCAAATGATATATGAATAGTGTAGTTTTAAAACTATGTTAAGACATTAAAGAATTATATATAAGTATATATTTCAGGTCTCTTGCTTAAACTTATAAATCATAATCTTTTACTATTAAATTTGTAATTAAAAGAATATTTGAAAATTTAACTTTATTAATAGAATCAATTAAAAAATGTCTCAACATAGTTTTAAAACTACATTATTTATATATCATTTGCAAGTTGCAGAATTGAATTTGCTTTACTAGAGCGGGAGTTGGAGCTTTTTTAAGATATGTGATTTTTATAATCGTTATGATAAATTATCTACTATAAATTTTTAAAAAAAATCACATATTTTCAAAACATTCTAACTCTAGCTCTAGTAAAGCAAATTCAATTCTGTAACTTGCAAATAATATAAGAATAGTGTAGTTTTAAAACTATGTTGAGATATTTAAGCATTATAAGTAAATATTTTGGGCCTCTATAGTTTAAACTCAAATCGTAAATATTTTACTATTTAAATTTGTAACTAAAAAAAGATTTGAAATTTTAACTATATTAATAAGATAAATTAAAAAATGTCTCAACATAGTTTTAAAATTACACTATTCATATACCATTTGCATGTTACAGAATTGAATTTACTTTACTAGAGCTGGAGTTAGAACGTTTTGAAGATACGTGATTTTAATAATAAATTACTATGCCAAATTTTTTTCAGTAAAATGATCGACAAAAATTGAAAAATCTTACTTAGTGTAAATCATATATAGTGCTGCACTATGATATTAAATCATATAATGTACAATACCCCAACCAGTGTTGAACAAATCAGAATTGCATTAAGTGTAGATAATGGCTTCAAAACTTGTACGTTTTGCAAAAAATTACAGATTTTTTACTATCAAGACTATTCTTTAATAGAAAGTGATTTGTTTTACCCATTTTATGATGTTTCGCTCTCTATATTATTAACCATTTTCAGATTAGTACAAAAGTTAATTAGATAATCTAAAACCATTTCTTCCGTTATAAGACTTAAACAAGATTGAATGCCTATGCGCAATACATGAATGTTTAACTATATAATACAATTTCGATTGTTATTTGTTTTCAACGTTTATTTGATCTTTATTAAATGATTTTGAATTAACATATTTTATTTCGCAAATTGATTAATTATAGGCGTCGAAATAATTTAAACAACTATTTTTAAAAAAAGTAATCTACATTAACAAAAAAAACCCCTAATTTTTTTATTCTTTTTTGTAAAGTCATAATAAACCCAATTTAAATTCATTGGTCTTATAGGAATTTGTTGATATTTATTATATTATAACCTATATACAGGTACATAAAAAAAAAAAAGATGAATAATTATTGTGGGGGCTGATACTAAAATTGGATGATACTAAAACTTTTTCATATTTTATTATAAAATTGTAAAATTTTTTAAAGCCTTTTTTGTTGTCTTTTTTTCATAGTTAGTTTAGGGTTAGGAGAGTAGTATTTATTAATAAAAAAGTATATATGAATTTTAGTAGGCTTTATAAATTTAAAAGAAAACACCAATTTTATCAGCCCCACAATTATAAAAACCAAACAAGGGCGTTCACAGTAACTATGGCCACAAAGAGTTCCAGTTACTTGATTTTATGCATGCGTTCACCACCTACAACGATTAATACCCGATTTCTGTCCACCCGACCCTCTTAAGAAGTAATTACTTTAATTAATCAGTTCTAAAACATAAAACCAAAATATTAACTGAAGTAGTAACCTCCAAAGCCATTGGAAAAGAAATAAACGTTTACAACAAACCATCTACTGTAAGTCTCAATGCTTAACTGATAACTGTCACAAGTGTGGCCCGATGTGCTTCTATTGTTGTCAACCTCTGGCTAAAGAATCGCGAAAAGATACATACAATTAATCAGCAATCATTTAGTTACTGTACTATAAACCAGATGTAATTTTCACTAATAAACCCTCAGAAAATCAAGCCTTAGGCGAGCTTTTTCTTCCACTTGTTCCGCAGACGTGCTTGCAGTAGTTATTAATGAAAACAACAACTAGACATTTATGACATATCACCTTGTAGACGCCCAACAAAAAATTGTTTACTCCCTGTAATTTTGACCAATTGAATTTCAGGATCAGGTGTAATGTAAAAATCGAAACGAACCCATTTTTTTACACAAAAACAAGAATAACTCTAAATTTTAATTAGGAAACTACTTCTGCGACTTAATTAAAAATGTTCTTCGTAATGTTTTACTAATAAGCGTTATATTGTCTTAATTATAACCCTAATTATAACACAGGTTTCTTGGTTTTCATTTTACGCGTAACTTTTTTACTTAGAAAACAAAACACGTTTGTTTTGACACCTGATCTTAAATTTTGATTAGTCGAAATTACTGGGGATGAACAATTTTTTGTTGTGGGAACGCTACCTAAAATCAAAGACAGGGTTGATAATGGAGCACTCCGTTGACTCCATTTTAATAGTACACTTGACCCTCGTTAATGTCAACCCACTTGGATCACTCTTATATTCATGTTGATAGTGAGTGATATATATGAGGGAATTTTGATTTATAAAAATTTATAAAGATTTGTCTTGTGGCTTAGGTTGATATTAACGTAGGTTGATAATAACGAGGGTCATGTGTAATACTCTGGATTAAAATGAGTCAACGGAGTGCTCCATTAACAACCATATACTTATATACCGGGTGTTTGATAAGTCCCTGGACAGGACCTTTTTATTGGTCACTTTAATTATCAAAACTATTACGTTTTTTATTAGTAAAAAAGTCCTATCTAGAAACTTTTTGAGTAAATAATAGAGATGTGCTTTTCGCGCGAAATGCTGATGTCATAATAAATTATTTATATTATCTCGCGCGAGAATCAATTGAATGATATCAGCATTTCGCGCGAAAGGCACATCTCTAGTAAATAACAAAAAAGGTCCTGTCCAGGGACTTATCAAACACCCGGGTATATATATTATTAGTATTCAGGGGTCCTGCATTACTGGGGTAGCTAGATTTAATCGATTTAACATACCAGCGCCAAACTTTACTAACCAATAATGCATATTCAATCGATTCCAATTTATGTAAACGTCAAATTTGACAAAGTGCAGAAACTAATATACCAAAATGCATCGCGCATATCATGATTTATTTGTCTTGACTTGGTCATAATCATACATAAAAAAATATATTATAGGCATAAATTTCTTAGGTGTACACTTTTAAATTTTTTTTTTTTTTAAGATTCTCAGAAGGTATCTAATGTATGTTCGAGTGTGAGGATGTGCTCAAGATATTTAAGAAATTTAAAAGGTAACTAATAAAATATTCGAGTTTGGAGATGTGCTTAAGGTATTTAAGAATTTTAAGGTAACTAATAACATGTTCGAGTTTGGAGACGTGTTCAAGGTATTTAAAAAGGATTATTAGAATTATTCCAAGCTTTACTATTCTCACTTTTTTCAGATTGAATATTATTGGTCACAGTATCTGACATATTCGAAAAGGAGATCCCGAATGCATCAAAATTGATGCCATCGTTATAGGTTCCATTTAAAGGATTGTCACTCTCTTGTAAATTGTCTTGCCATGGTTGATTAAACCAGTTTGCCATGGTACAGTTATGCATGTTTATGGCATTATTGGATTCATCTCTCATAGTAGGGGTTTGAAATAATGATGCATTGAGCAAAGACATCAAATTTGGAATAGGAGTTTTAAGAAAATCTTCCGAGTTTACATCAGGGCTTGGATATGCGGCTCTACCAAATTGATGTGTTATACCTAGTTGAAGGAAATCAGGAGATAATTGATTATTTGAAACATTCATATCAACTATTTGTCGGTGATCATCATCAAATGAGGGATCGGGACTCGGGCAAATGGTTTGGCTGTAAAAATCATGACTATTACGTGAATTCGGTGATAGTGTATTACGAACATTCGGGGTTTGGAACGTATCCGATGGCTCATCACAGACGATTTCAGAAGATCGAAGACTCCCTGATGGCGGACAGCTCGAAGGTACGACATCGACTGTATTAAGTTCTTTCGAGCTGGAAGATTTGGGGAATTGAGTCGAATTGTTTGTTGATAGAGTGCCAGATCGATTTGATTGTTTAAATGAAATGATATTCCATTTTTCACGTTTCTTTCGTTTGTGATATTTCGGATAAATTTCACTATGATATTCGCAGGCTTCTCGTGCGATTCTCATGTACTCATTTTTTACCGTCTCAGGTTCTTGTTCCCACGATTTGGAGGCAATTGAGGAAATGACAGTCATTGGTAAGTAATAACCCTTTTTACGTGCCTCCTCGACGCATGCTTTTCGATAGACAATGAAAGAATTTGGAGCTCTAGCAGGAGCGCGTCCATCAGGTCTTTTCTCTACCAAATCTTGGGGAGTAATGGTGGGAGGAAATGGAGGTTTAAATGTTTGTTCGCTGTTGTTGTTAATTACTTGATTGGGAAATGAGGGATCACTTGAGTCAATAAAAACACGTTCTCGCGGTAATGAAGTCTGCGCACTTGAAGCCTTGTTAGCATTCAAATCGCTCATAATGGCCCAAACTTGTGGGAGTCTATATCTATTATCTTCTATTATCGTCTATTGATAATTTAAATTGAGGCGGAGACCTCATTATTATTGAGAAAGTACCCTATTTATAATTGATATTGTTTGAGGAATCACACCTATCATAATTGATAAGTGCATATCGATAGAATTTAACATATTTGGCGTATTTGTTGTATCACGATCAGAAATTTTAAAATTTAAACTTTAAAACTTTATTAGGATAGTGTAAAAAATCATTTTTAGAGTCGTAAACTGAAATCAGATGATTAAGATTATATACATTCGCGTGAAATAAAACAATACAGTCAACATCTTGGTTATATCACCTTAATTTTCGGAGATATAACGAAGATGGGATATATCAAGTATATAAAAAAAAAGAAAATTTATTTGCTCAATTATAGGGATATAACCTCGTGGGGACATAATCCAGGTATGGCTGCTTATCTTTGGACTTGAAGACAATCAAAAATCGGAATAAAATGTTATAATCAGCATGTACCCTGCATCACGCATCCATATTTATTCAAAACATTAAAGAATTTGTTGATAATTCATATTTATTAGAAAATGGACAAATGATTAAAACTTTTGTATCTTCTGCATAGTTTCACAAATAAAAGTTTTAGACGTGTTAATGCTTCATTGAGCCTTTTTAAACGCATTACATAACACGAAATCAGAATTACTTCAATTTAGTATTTCATCAACTTGTGTTCACGGTACACCAACATACTGGGTACTCTAGATAAGAAAGTTATACCTGGAACTTGCATATTTGCAATTATTCTATATTTACATGGCGT